GTAGCTGAAAGTGGATTCCCTACAAAAAACACTCGCGGCAAATATTTTTTTGGTAAAGGTGGTGGTGGTGGGAAAGGTCTGCCCCAAAGTTTTATAATTTTATTTAAAAAAAAGAAAATAATTGCAATCAACACAAAGAAAAATAATAAAACTTAAATCAAGGCGATTTCAAAATCAAACAAAAACACTGTTTTTATTGAATTTATTTTATAAATAAAAAAGAAAGTTCTTTTTAGTAAAAAGAATCAAAAAGAATTATGGTGTGGCTTTCTCCCCACTTTTTAACTAATAATAAGGCAAAACAATAAAAAATACAAAATAAAGAATGAAACACAATATTTAATTCCAAAACGAATAAACTTAATTGATAATAACAAATGACCAATAAACTGACCCTTTTTGATACTTAATATGTTGTTGACTTTTCTTAATATTTGAGATATCCCGCTTGGATACTTCAAAAAGTTTCATCAAAGAATCATGAGTCCCCCCTTCAGCTTAAGCTTTGGCTGCACCCTTGAATTTTTGTTCTCTCAAACATATAAACAATTTTATTTTGATTTTTTGGTCATCTTGTTTGATTATTATTATTATAAAAAACATTGAAATTACACAAATTTGTAGTTTGTCTTCAAGAATGCTGCTTTAGAAGTAAATATTGGATTTTTAAAAATTTTGATCGAAAAAAACTGCGGCTTTTTTCCTTGTTTTTTTAACAAATAAATATTTAAACTATATTTAAAACTATATTTTATAGTAAAAATGTCAAGTACCACATTTTTGTTATCAGTTTATAAAAAATAAAAACTATTATTAAATATTGAAACAATTTTAACAAAAACTTTAAATAATTGGATTGAATAAGTTAAAAAAAATACAAAAGAAGTCTTATCACATATTAGATTTTGTTTTAGAAACGTTTTAAAATATAGTTATTATTATTCAATAAATTATTCAGTTTCGAGAAGATACAACCCATTTGTATGTTTTGATTTTGATAGGTCAGTTAACCCACAAATAAACAAAACCCACAAATACCAAAACTTACAAAAGTGTGACTTTGAATGTATTTGGTTTGTCAAAGTTAATATAATCAAAGACAATTATGGCAAACTTTACTTGTAATTATAAAAGTCTAAATTAATTATAAGAAAAAATATAATTTAGTTTGATTGTAACAATGAGTCGACACCAAAGTGTGTACTGCGAAAGGAATATTTTTGTTTTTTTCATTAAAGAATCGAAATATACTCAAAGTTTTTCATTGTTTTTAAATCAGTCCAATTGTTGCATCGTTTGGCCATGTGCTCACTTAAACCGCAAATCCTACATGTTTTTTTGTTATTCAAGAGTAGATGACATCTTTAATAAGGCGTGATTCTTGTATAGTTTTTGAGTTTTTTCTGGGTTTTCAACAAAAAAATACTTGGTCTTATTTGTGAATTTTAAAGAGTAGGTGGATCGAGTGAAAATGGGCTTCCTTAAATTTGTTTTATTTTCTCTTTTTCCAAATTTTCTTTGAAATTTGAACTGTTAATTTATAAACAGTTGAAATAACGTTTAACCATTGTGCTTTAAGTGAAGGAGTGTGGAGTATAGTATCGACAATTTCATCAAAAGCAACAACGTAGTCTTTGCGTGTCCATAGATTTAATTTATCAATAACGATTCGTTTCACATAGGGGTGTTCGGCAAACAACACTTGCTCCACAAAGGCACCAACACCAGAGTCTGTCAGTTCAAAAAGTGGTTCTCGAAGTCCAAGTACTTTTTCATATAAGCGGTTATATAGCTGATGAATGACAAAGTAAGTGGTGGAACCTTCAAGCAGCGCAAGCATTGGGACCATTAAATAATTATTAAGAAAATATATTATCCACTCACGTTTTATTCCGTTTATATTATGAAGACCGATTGGCTTGTTGACGTTTTGTAATTGAATTTCTGTATAGTATGAAATACAATTATTCACAAATTTGTTTGCCTTCTCAATAAATAGTTGTGTCACTTCAATCAAAGTAACAATTTCCCCTTTGTTTCACGTTTTATTACTCCAAAAAACCCTTCGACTACATTTGTGGTCAAGTCGTGTGTAATTCTTTCTGTGTATTGAGAAATCCAACTTAATTTTGTTTCTTCTAGTTGCTCAAGAAATCTAGTCTTTTCATTTCCCAATATTTTAACAGAAGAGTGTTGTTGACTTGATTGACAATAGTCAATAAATTCATGAAAAGGATCAACATTATCAAGAACTCCGCCTTCTTTTGTGTATTCAGAAATTTTGCATTCTTATTTATAAGTTGCAATTAATTCCAAAAATTGTTCACCTGTGATTTCACGATTTATTAGCTTTTTAAAAGATTTATGAATTGTTGAGTTTTTGCCAAAAGCGGTTATAATGTAGTGTCTTATATGTCTGTAACAAAATACAATTTGCAC